CCACCACCTCGGCCCCCCTTGCGAAGGCTCCCCTGCGAACCCCGGCATGGAGAAGGTGGAGGCGGGAGCGGCGGCGGCGGCGGCGGCGAGAGCAGGAGCAGCAGGGCGCCGCGTTGCCCGCTCCCCGCGAGCAAGCTGAGGCATTCCGGAAGGTAAGTCGGGCTCCCTTTTTTCCCCTCTCTTTCTCTTTCGCTGCCTCTCTCACGCAGGAAAGTTTCACCGAGAAGAAACGAGCGGTAGCCTTTAGCCTTGGCCGACCGAAACGAGACGCGGGGTCCCTGCTCGCCTTGACTCCGTGTTTGTAAGAATTTTTTTTCCCCAACCGCTCGAAAGACCGAGCCCTCGCTGGGATCAGTGGATTCGCCAGTCTAGGGATCGATCGATCACCTTTTGCGTCCCCTTTCTCTGGCTGGCTTGGGAGGTGGCCAAGATGCTCCATGGGGCACAGATCTCTCTCTCCCCCCCCCTCTTCTTCCGTGCGGGGCATTCCCTCATCATCCTCCGGGGATCCTTTCCCTCCAGGTTTCGGTGTCGAGCGATGGACGGAGGAGGCAGAGGCATCCCGAAATACCAAGATTTGGGGGGGGGGGAGAGGAGGAAACCTCAAACCATGGTGGCCAAATAAACAGGGGATCGAATAGATAACTTAAGACCCCAGCACGCACGAACCCACCTCTCCTTGGTCTCTTTTCTTTCTCGCTAAGGTTTACTTGGGAGTAGAAGGTCAGCTCAAGGGAAAGGGATACTCAGCTGAGCGCGCAACAACAGTACAGTATAGTCAAAAGGCAGCTGGGAGGAATGGGCCTCGGACGGTCTCTTGCGAGGAGGGCGGTGCTCTCTGCACATGCCCCGAGGCCATCCATGGCTGGCGGCCCTTGTGGGACAGCCCGCCCATATTCCCGGGACTAAACAGGTTCTGGAAGACGACCTCCGGCTGGCCCTGAAGACTTCCGTGTCGTCGTGTGCCTTCTGGGGGCGGGAGGGAGACGCGGAGCGGGTGTCGGGCCAGTCTTGTAACGTTATCGCTGCCCTTTCGGAGTTCGAGCGCCTCGATGTGCGGAAGTAGAAGGCGGTGGAGATGGCGAGGAAGTGGGGTGGCCGTGGGAGGGAGGCGAGGCAAGTCAAGTCAGGTTTATTTCTGTACTCCTCTGTCCTGTAACTGCTGCGCTCCAACGTGAGTTCTCAAAAGCGAGTAAGGCGGCAGCATTTCATAACAGTCCAGAAGTTCCACTGGCTTTTCCCGGGCAAATAAGATGTGCCCACCCTTCAGTGGTGGTAGTTTGTGTCTTCTTTCTTTCTTTCTTTTTTGGAATTACTGGCTAGGTCCTATAGCTGTTACTCAGAACTGTAATACAAAGCAGTAACCTTTCCCATCTCCGCCTTGGGGACGCTACTGGAGGAGGTACAAGAAAGCATATATGTGAACTGAGTTGCTGTGCATCTCTGCTTCATTCTGCTACACATTCCACTTGTCTTTCTCGTTTCTGTGACCCTGTTATTTCCCGCTCTCATCTTTTACCTGCTTTTGCCTCCTGGTCTTGCTCTTTCTAAACTACACTCTCTGTTTTTCAGAGTTACATAGTTATTTTTTTTTTAAAAAAGCATGTAAACAGAACAGTGGTCTTTATTGAATTGTTAGTCCCTGTTAGGGTTGACCCAATGAAAGAATAGGACTTGTTAAGTCAATACTTATGTAAGTCCCACTGAGCCAAGTCCCTTGGAATTAGATAGAAATAGATGGATGCCATGTTCGTTTAATCTGCTGCATAAATATCTCAAAAAGTTCGCCCTCTTCAACAGCCCAAGGCGGTTGCATGCTGAGATACTCAATCCGGAGGTTGAGCAACAAAAAGTCAGAAAAGCAGATAAATAAAAGACCTAAATATGAGGCTTAAAAAGTAGAAAACGTAATATTCTGATAACATAATGAAGAATGCAAAGAGAGACTGTTATAGCTGATCATTCAAGGCAAGTTAAATGTGGAACATAGTGTAGAAAGGGGATTATTGCATTGACAAGAGAAGCCTTAGATACTGTTTTGGATGCAGCATAGCACCATTGTTTAGAATGCCCACGTCCAAAGTCAGAACAGCCCTGATGATGTCCAGCCTCCAGTAAGAGAGGGCAGAAAATGGCACTCATGCAGGATGAGACAAATTCACTGTGGTGACCACCAATTCCATAGATGAACAACAGTGGCTAAATCTACTAATCATAATTGCTGTCTATCTGCATCTCCTAGGTTTAGACACAGTATGCCCCTCAATAAGAGTAGTGGCTGAACTGTAACAGCAGAGAAGGCTATTGCATTCATATCTCCAAGCATATCCTGAAACTGTGTTGCTCTACCAGGGCTCCTATTAGGTCCTTAAGAAAGAAAATAAGATGAAGTGCACTTAGAATGAGTTACAGTTTATAGCTAAACAAATACGAACCTTTATTTGAAACTATTTATATTGAAACACTTGTAAATGTGTTAAGATGCAAGACATCACACACTTTCCCTGCCTTGTTTCAGTGTGTTGTTTCTATTAAATGGTAGACATCTTAAACTGTTAATTAACTACTTTTAGCAGCATATATAATTTGCCTTGGTAAAATAGGCCTCCACATTGAAAGCAGCCAGTTTTACTGATGTTCTGTCCAATTCATGATGATGTTAATTTGTTCTAGGAAACAGCATCTTCTTAGAAATAGAAACATTGCCATGGGGGCAGGGAAGAAAAAGCTTCCAGTGTCATTGATGCAGGCTTAATCCCTATACATCAAAGGCATTTTGTATACTACAGTATTTTGAAGAGTTAACTACATAACAGCCTGCCTGCTCACCCCAGTTTCATATTTGGTTTTAAAATATCTAGACATCTTCCCTTTCTTGTCCTTTTTGAATTCCTCCCTCCCTCTTTCAATCCCCATTTGGCCTTTGCTGTCATTTTCCTTATTCTGGCTCTTTGTTGATGGCAAACCAGATTGGGAAGTATCCACAGTGCAAGAAGAGCTGACTCAGGAAATGAACCCGCCTTGTTCCCTGAAGACATTTCACACCATGTGTGGGTCTTGGTGCAAGACTCTGTAGGTGAAGTTTATACAGTAGTTTTATCTCCCCTTTAAGATGTCAGCTGGCATTGCAAGGTGCCTTGACAGAGAGTAGAGTGATTATGTTTGATTTGGTGCTGCAGTGGTCAAAATCCTGTTGCTTAGGATAGTAAATTGCAGTAAAAGAGGACCATTGAATTAATGGGAATTTGGTGAGTTGACTCCACTGAAGTAAGTAACAGGTAGATTAAGCCCCTTTGAACCAATGGAATTTAGAGAAAAATTGACTTACCAAGTCAACACTAATTCAGTAGGCCTACTCTAGTGCAAATTTCTGTGGTAAGCAAAAGGATTTTGGCCATCATGTTTTCTTGTTGGTCTGTGTGAGAGAATAGGAGGAGAGAGGAATGAGAGAGAGAAAATAACACACAAAGTTGACTCAGGATGCTCAGAAGTACTCAACACTCCCAGAAATTAAGGGTATGGCAAAAGAAGGGAGAAAAGAACCCATGTTGCTTATCTGTGGGATAAAATTGGCTACATTGTTCCTTGGCTTATAAGAACAGTGTTTGGTGGTGAATAGGCGTATCATGCATAGGACCCAGTTATTGGCTAACACACCTGTTGGCCAGTGCACTGGGTCAGATGCTGAAGTGAACTGGTTGTGTTTGGGTGTGTTTGTACAACAGGACATTGGGTCTACCAGAGTCTGAACCTGTCCTGTGGGTTCATGCTGCCATCTTAATACCCCACTCCTAGAGGAGGCGCATACCTATCCCAAGATGTCTTATGGGGATACATGCAGAACTCACTGCAGAAGCAGGTAAGCCAGCCTTCATTATCCCTCATAAATTGATGTTACTAAATCCCACAAAAAGTTTTGACAGAAAAAAAAACATACAGTATATGAAACATTGGCAGCTGAAAATCCCCAAAGTGCAATGGGGAACGCGAAATTCCTGTGAATGTAGTGTCTTCTTGTGCCCATAGGTGGAATTACTCCCACAACCTGATTAACACAGACTTATGGTGATATAGAAATAAGAAGAGGAAATCCTGGTCAAGAAGCAGATGAAAGAAGGATCTGTTCTTTTCACATCTATTCTCAGTAGTCTTAACTCATGAGCTAAGGGGGTGTGTAGTCACAATAGGTAACACGTTTGTGCCACTTAATGGAATAACTTGTCTCTTGTTAGTAAAGAGAGGTTCAAGATGCTTCCATCTCCCCCTGTGCAGGTACAATGAGGTATTCTAGTCAGCAGGGACCTGGATTTGTAAGTAATGGTGTGGATGGGACTGTTTGTACAATAGTTGGGATATGATGAATAGGCTAAGATTCATTGGAGAGTCTACAGGAACTGAAAAAGTAATCTATTTTTTTAACCATGCAACCAGTATGTAGACATGCTGATGGTGTGGATTGACTCTAAATGAGAAATATTAGTGAAGGCACTATTTCTGCAATTTATTTGTCTTCATTGTTGTAGCTTAGACGCTTCCTTTGTTTCCCCAGGGACACTTGCTGATTCCAGAGCTCTAGATCCATCTATATGACTTAGTTGGAATAACAATGACCGAAGTCCTTCTGTCGGCAGTCCTGAACATGACTGAAACTCACTTGCTGGCTAGCAATGTCACCAGCAATGTTCCTGGGAAATGTTCGTTGACTAAAACTGGCTTCCAGTTTTATTATCTGCCTGCTGTCTACATTGTAGTCTTCATCACTGGATTGCTGGGCAACAGTGTGGCTATTTGGATGTTTATCTTCCATATGAGGCCTTGGAGTGGCATCTCTGTTTACATGTTCAACCTGGCACTAGCTGACTTCCTGTACGTCCTGACGCTTCCTGCACTGATCTTCTATTACTTCAATCAAACTGACTGGATCTTTGGAGACTTCATGTGTAAGCTGCAGAGGTTCATCTTCCATGTCAATTTGTACGGAAGCATTTTGTTTCTTACTTGCATCAGCGTGCACAGATATACAGGTGTTGTTTATCCTTTAAAATCCCTGGGGAGACTGAAAAAAAAGAATGCAGTTTATATCAGTGCCCTGGTCTGGGGTATTGTGGTAATTGGGATCTCTCCTATTTTCTTCTACTCCGGAACAGAGGTAAGGAAAGTGAAAACTATGGCATGCTACGACACGACGTCAGATAATTATCTGAGAAGCTACTTCATTTACAGCATGTGCACCACTGTCTTCTTGTTCTGCATCCCATTCATACTGATCCTTGGTTGTTATGGATTAATAGTTAAAGCACTGATTTATAAAGATCTAGACAATTCTCCACTTAGAAGAAAATCAATTTACCTGGTTATTATAGTGTTGGCAGTCTTTGCTGTATCCTATCTTCCTTTTCATGTGATGAAAAACTTGAATCTACGAGCCAGGCTGGATTTTCAGACTCCAGAAATGTGTGCCTTTAACAACAGGGTTTACGCCACTTACCAAGTAACTCGGGGACTTGCGAGTCTCAACAGCTGTGTGGATCCTATTCTGTATTTTTTGGCAGGAGACACATTTCGAAGAAGGCTCTCCAGAGCAACCAGAAAAGCTTCAAGAAGAAGTGAGCTCAACGTGCAGTCCAAAAGTGAGGATATGACTCTCAGTATTTTATCTGAGTGTAAACAGAATGGAGACACAAGCTTGTGAATTATTATTTAACAAAAATGTTGGCAAGCATACACTTTCTCCTCACCCACTGATCCCCACTGATCATTTTAACACTTTAGGGCACTCTCATTTCACACATTTTTGAGAAAACCTAACAAGTGGACAACTTATATTTGTGTGGAGCTTCTTACACTGTATAACATGCTCTTTGAGCCCAGGAAGACAGTGTGAAAGTAAATGTACAGTTTAAATAGGAAAAAAAAGTGGGCAGTTTCTGAAAGGTTAATTCATCTTAGAGACTAGTTGTGCATATGGTAGGAACAAAGCAATCCCAAGGGAAAAGGAGCAATGATCACAGGCTATCTTTATCAGAACATACCACTGAGGAGTGTCTAGAGAAGACTAACCTTTGTGTAAGGTCCTTGTCCATTTCCTAAACTATTTCTTCTTTCTGCACTGCTGTGGTCTTGGGGCAGGGAGAGTCTGTGGGGCACAGCCCCAGTCAGGGATAATGCAGACCTGCTCCAGGAATGTTTAGTTCTTATTGAAAAGATATTCCTTAGTCTCAATGAAAAGTATCTAGCCTTCTTACTTACAGAGAAACTTAAGTTGCTGGCAGTATTCTCAGCTGATCCAAGTTTGATTTTGGATTTGTGTAATGATTAAATAACTTGAAGTGTGTTGGACAACTTGAATTTGTTGTTCTCCATTGAATTTGGTAGTCTCCCAGATGCATTTTTGTAAGCTACCAGGCCATAGCAACCTTGAATGCTGATTTTTGTTGTTGGGATTTCTCTCAAATCCTTTAGTAAAATCTAGTAAGGACAAAGGCCAGGAGGTAGTGCTGGTCTGTTGACATTTATTATTTGATTACAGCTGATGTACTGAAACTGATGACATTCTCTCTCTTTCAAATCTGGGTTTATGCGGAGTCATCTGCTGTGGGATGTTCAGAGGAGACATCTTGGTACAGTGGCTCTCAATTTGTGACAAAATGGTAGTGGTATGCAGCCATCACCCCTTTCAGGATTAAATGTTCAGCATGTGTCAGGAAGCATGGGAAAACTGTACTGCTCATTATACACTGAAATCTAAAATCGTAAATGAGACAGGCTGTTAGGGCTTGGCAAAGCCTAAGCTGATTATGGAGACTGTTGATGCTGTTCTCTCATGACAATTGCATACTTTAAAATGTCTGTACAGTAGGCCCTAATGGGTACCTTATATAGACTACCCATCTATTTATTTTGGATGTCTTTATGTAAAGCCCATCCTTTACTAATTAAGAATAATAGAATGTCTCATATAAAATCAACAAATGACATTAAAATATTTTAATATTATTCTTAAGGGACATGGTCTTTTAAAAAACATATCTGGCCATAATAAACCGAGCCATTACTTAGGTACCCATTGTAACTTCTAGTCAACCATTGAGTGTCTTGCTAAGATCATTGTCTAGTTTCAGAGTTGGTGTCATTTTTCGAATACATAAAAAAGGACTAAACATATCTAATTCACAATATATTCGTATACACAGAGAGATGTGCATTTGGTTTATTTTTAGCCTCAATTTGGTTTTCTTCTTGTAACATGCGGCACTTTGCATGACAATAGCTGCTTTTCAAGAGAATTGTGGTATTTTTCCCTACTTTCTTCTACTTCTTTTTCTCAACAGAAGAAAAAGAAACTGCCGTTAATTTTCATTGTGGGGGAAAATCACACCTAATCTAGATATATAAAAGATTTACATTGGATTATGAAAATCCCCTAATGATACTTTTCCCTACTTCCATGTGGGGGGCTCATACTCCTATTGTTGGGAGGTAAGCGGGGTTGTTGGAGGTGAATGATGTGGAGCAGAATTCCTGCTGTACATGTACGGGGAACTGACCATCTGGTCTCTAAGCAGTGCTTGAAGGAGACTCATCTAGAGAAATATCCTGGCTCAGGTATTCCTCATAGACATATGACCATGTGAAAAATACTTCTGAAACTTCAGCAGTTGCAGGAAAGAGGGAGTTTCATCAGTTTTAGCTTGCCATACACATTATGGTTGCTGAAATTCCCACACTAATACTAAAGATGCTCTGTTCTGCTTTTCATGTGGCCACCCTGCAGTGTGTAGAAAGCATTCTCCTCAAATGTCAATGATATCCATAGAGGTACTAGGTAGGCTGCTGAGTGGCTCATTCTCCTTCTTACATAAAAGAAATTGTGTGAGAAAATCAGGGTGGGATTGAATGCCCAGATAGCGCTCCTTGGATCTTCACACTGACAAAACGTTTAATTGTGTTTCCACTGAATTCTTCAGTACTAATCTCTGTGTGTTTTATTATCTTCAGTAAACATTCTTTTGTGTCTTCTGCCGACACCTAAGGATCAAACTAGATAATACACTAAGTGCATATAGAAGCAATGTTCCCTTAAGTGAAAGTTCAAATGTGTCTCAAGGTCAGACTTAAGAAGATTCTGCGCTCCCTGCAATTGGCATTAATGTCATCTCCAACAATGAGGGTTTTTTTTCATATATATACCTCATGAACAGAACAACGCAAGAAACAGAGATGAAGAAAATTATGAGGAAGGACAAACTACCATTCACACTTCTTGAAAAATAGCCCTAACTACTTTGTGTTTGGGTGAGAAGTGGTTAACTGATTAAAAAAGTCAGCTTCTGGGATTATCCCTTGCTGTGTGTCACTTTGTGAATGGTAATGAGCACAAGAGGATATCCAGTGTAGACCATTTTGACTACTGCCATTGATGTTTTCAGTATCCAGGTGCCCTTTGCAATGAAAAGGTTAGCATTTTTCTTCCTGCTGGCAGCACAGGCATGATATTGTGCAGCAACATCTGGCTGCACTAAACACCTGGTGTTTTGAACTGGATACAAAAGCACGAAATCCCACATTCATAAACCAGGGTGTTTCTTCTTTCTTTCTTTCTTTCTTTCTTTCTTTCTTTCTTTCTTTCTTTCTTTCTTTCTTTCTTTCTTTCTTTCTTTCTTTCTTTCTTTCTTTCTTTCTTTCTTTCTTAGTATTGAATTGAATTTGGAGCAGAATTATAGAACAGATTTTGTAACTTTTTCATCTCAAATTATTTTATTTTCCTACATTTCCACATCCAGCTAATTTGCACTTTATACTACATCCTGGTACTTGGTCCATGCAGTTTATAGATGTTGGTATGTAAACTTTTTGCATACCTTATAATACAGTAACTTCCACATACATGCATGTACATGCATACAGACCTTGCAAAATCTCCCTGCTTGTGCAACATGCCTGTGCATATAATAGTTATTTACGTGTTAGAGTCTCAACCCAGCGAATGTGATTCTTCAGTAGAAACTGGTTTCTGTTTGTGGATGTTTCTTTATATTTCACTATTAAGTGAGCCATTGAGTTTGTTGCACGAAGATTCTTGAAGATTCTTAAATCCAATGTCAAGAGCACTACCCACTTAAAGCACTAATAACCTCTTTGGGTGATGGAACTTAATCTGGGCACTTCTGGTCCTCCCAATGTATTGCAAACCTGAAAACACCACCTGTGCAAAGAAATACAGTGGAATCCTCATTTTTGCTAGACTGATGTGACACTTGATATTCTCCCAGTTGGAAGCACTTTTAAAAATCTGTTGTAATTACAACATTAGGGGGCTACCTGTGCTGTGATGGCATATCTCTCTGCAGATGTGCAAACACACAGGAACTCAAGAGGAATAAATAGCTTTTTGTATAAGGCAGGTGAAAGATTTTACCAGGAATATGATCTTTTTCAATGATTAACATGCATTGGACAACTTTCCACAATCTTTTTTTAAAAAGCTGTGCTAATACAGGGATTGTTTTCTAAAATTCCAGAGAATTCCAGAAACATGATCTGATCCAAAGCAGGGCAATCACAGTAAAAGCAAAATCCATACTGTGCACCACCAAGTATAGCATATTACTAATAGTCTGCCAGTTTCTCAGATCCCATTCAATGAAGCAGCAGAATGGACCATACTAAAGGCCTCATGTTCTTCCATGCAATATTACCATGAGTATAAAACTAATCCAGGGAGAGAACATTACTTTTAGATTCTGAAGAAAGCTTGTTGACCAGAAATACCTGAGATTCTTCTTGCTGTTTCCACAGTGGTTTTTAGTTTTACAGGGATGAATAGCTAGTCCACCACCTAACTGCCCTCCTTTTTCATCCAGGCTTGGCACTGGCAAATGGTGGAGTTCCCAAGAAAGCAGGGTCTGAGATTTTCTTTTGATGGTGTGTTACTGATTCCTATAGTATTTTTTTGGCATAAAGTGTGCTTGCTTTTCTTTATAGCAGTCTTTTGAGGTATATTTGAGGAAATGTACTACTTGGTGGGGATACAAAATTGTCCCTCACTTCCAAACTGAACATTGTGCCTCTAGAGTACCAAATGGTGGGATGGGGGAAGTACCTGTGTTTTGCAAGGTAACTTATTGCCCTTCTCCCATCTTCTATCAATCTTCCTAAAATTATATTATTAGACATTAAATCTATCAGAAAAATGCAGCCAGTTGCCTTCAAACAGCATTTGAATGCAATAATTTCTAATAAAATTTTATGTTCCATTTAATAGACAACTCGCAGGATTCAGGGCAGGGTTCCATGAAAGATTTCCTTCCTATAAATTCTAGAAACCAGGGTGGCCTTGATTTAATCAAATTCATTTAATTTGGCAAAATATTATTCAAGAAGCTTTAACTTACTTAGTTCCTAGGAGGGTGGATGAAAATCAATGTTTTTTTTTTTAAATGTGATTTAAATTTTTAAAATTGGGTTTTCTGATAATTTAAATTTTTAAATGATTTTTTAAAATTTAAATTGTGATTTAAATCAATTTAATTTTTTTAAAAAATCATTGACTTTTATCTACTCTTGTAGGAAATAAGTTTGTTAAAACTTCTTGAATAATATTCTGCCTGCAGCTAACTATTCTAACAATCAGAAATACAGTACTTCTCAGTATCCAACATGATAATGAAGTACCACTGAAATAAATGGCACTTTTGTTTAGTTCTTCGGTTTCCAACTGTACTTTCATAGAATTCAACTCAGTTTTTTTCTTTCTTTCTTGTGCCTTAGGAACATTTCTTAACGTTTATCTTCATTTCTCTGGAAATTCCAGCTTCCCCAGAGCTATTGGCATCCAGAGATTAGCTCAAATTAATTATTTTCTATTTTTATAAGCCACACATAAAGACAGTGTGCATTGTTCTTTTCCCTCCATTATGTTATCACAATAACCCTATTAGGTATGTTAGGCTGATAAGCAAATCTCTTAGAAAGTTTTTCTGCTCACGATCAAACCTGATTATTCAAGTAGCATGTTGTGTTGTGCTCAGAGATGTCTGTTTGTCATTGCATGAGGATTCCTCACTTCCTAATTTTCAAAATCAGCCTTCCTTGTTTTGTAATGGGTCACTGGAAGTAAACATGGCCTTCATTTATAAATCAGATTGATCACACATAGAATGCAGATGGAATGGCTAGAGAACCAGTGTGTTATCAACTTCTAACTGTAAGCAGAGCATCTCATGTGGTTTGATCCTTAAATAGGGATTTGAAGCTGAGTTTTCTCAGTTTTAGTTTAAAGACTCTAACCAGTATACCAGAATATGACACTTTAACCTGCAGTTTATTGAGGTGTTAGATATTGATAATCTGTACGAGGATTGTAGAAAAGGGCAGAGAAACACAAAAGAGGGAAGGGAAAAATACACACTCTAGTAGAAAGTTAGCTGGCTGGATAGCACAGTGATTTCGGTATCTGGTCATGGAGCCAAAGGCTGGGAATTTGATTCCCCAATGTGCCTCCTAGAAGTGCAAGCCTGTGTGGCTTTGAATAAGCTGCACAGTCCCAGGGCATTCCCAAAAGAAGGAAATGATAAACCTCTTCTGAGTATTCTTTACCCAGAAAAGGGTTGCCATATGTCAGAACTGACTTGATGGCACATGATGATTATTATAGTAGAAAATTTGAGCAAAGAGTAGTACAAATCAGGGAACATTCTCTTAATTTTTAACCAGGCACAAACAAATCTTTGGCATGATGCACAATGAAGATGCAGAAATTCAGTTATTAGATACAAACCACTACTATGGCTGTAATCTTTAGGTAGAATATCCCATCTCATCACTTCTGCAAACACCCATTCTTTTTTTGATTTTGAGAGTGATCTAGTGAGCAGCATATTTGGAACTATGTCTTAGTCATGATTAAATAACCTGACTTTGTTTAAGCATCCCACTTAAGTAGGGGCCCCATTTAATCTTACTTATAGCTAATGCTGGTGCTGATTTAACCTAATCCGGGAA